AATGACCTTTACATAAGAAAGTTATAAACAAAAATCTAATTTGAACGATTCTTTGAAGTTTGAACATAATATATAATGAAGTTTTAAAAATCTACATTTTAAAAAAATCTACTTTTTTGGTGGCACCTTAATTGGTGATGATTAAAATCAGATTTTTAGTATATTTTTAAAAGTTGTGAGCCCATAAAATATGTGGCTAAAATTAACTTTTGACTTTTTATATTACAATCTGAATTTTAATACCTACCAAACAAGAGCTATAATCCAAGTCCGGAAATAATAAAAATGTAGGTTTTCCTAAATTACAATTTAATTCCTTAACTCTTCAAATTTTACAATTAAGTCCCAAATTGGATTTCTATCAATCAATGAACTCATATCATCACTAGGAAACCTAATTTCATCACTCATTCATTTAAATCTTATTTTCCAAAATTTTATCTTGATCCCTCAAGTATTAAAAAATATATAATTTGGTACTCTAGCTATCGAACTTTACACATAAGCCCAATAAGAAATACGAGGTTTTACACAATCACTTAATACCATTTTACGCCTAGAATAATGCTGACCATCAATCATCATTCTTCCGACTAGTTAAGATAGACATTATCTTGATAAGGAATAGCAACATCGAAATGACTTTAGTAGTTGGAAGGACACAATCATAGTACTATTATGGGGTGGCCTTGTAGTACTATTGAAGATATATAGTCACTATTTGGTTTTGCCAAAAATCAGTTTTTAGTAGATTTTAATCAAAGTCGATGAAACGTGTTGTCGAAAACTGATAAATGAATCTATGTAGTTAAATTTAATTATCGACTAACTTAAAATTAAAATAAATATAGGCATAGTAACATATGACAAAGAAACTCTTTTAATTTCTCGTAAGAATGAAAAAAATACATTTAAATGCAACTGCATGCTGCTATTTTAGTTCATAGCCATGTGGAGCCACAATTGCATGCATAAGACGAATAGTCTCTTAGCTTTTTATTTTTGGATACTGTAGATTAGAGGCATCATCACATGGACCAACCTGGAGAAAATAACATAATTCAACCAACATAATTCAACCATCCAATAATGAAGCTGTAGACGTATACTTCAATAATGAATAGAACTCCCCTACCCCCCATTATCCTAAGCTGAGATCTGCTGTCTATTTTCGTTGTCCACCCAATTGTAAATTGACACATCGTGAAAAAATCAATTGGGCATTGAAATTCTAGAGCGGAAATGACAAAATGAAGGTCATGGAAATTTCATTAGATTAAATGCTTAAAATGCGTAGTTTTTTTTTTTGGAAAAAAAATTAAAAAATTCACTGAGTGTAGTGATGAATTAGTATGTGCAGATCCATGTTATGACTACCAACCGAGCAATATCCATCAGTACGCGAGTTGACAAGTGAGAGAGTAGCGAAATTTGAAACCCAGATAAGATTTCCCCGCAAGTTTAATGACCGATGACAACTAAGATATGTGTGTGTACATATATCTTAGTGATGTTGCAGTAGACATTGAGCCACCCATTGCATTTCATCCACAAGATTTATATATGTTTTCCTAAGATGACCTAATTTGTGAAAATGAACGGGTGATATTAAAATATTTGTGGATTAGTCTAAATTATAGGTACTGATGAACTTGCTTAGATTCCTCCACTCATGTGTGTTCCACTTAATTGCTAATTTATTCTTCTTTGAATAAATAATAGCAGTAAAAAATGATACATAATGAAAATATGCGCAATCTTGAATTCCAAAAGATCGATAAGTGAAATATGTTTCCTCGAACAGTTGAATCCAACGCTCAAGAAACTCTGATCGAACCACTAGATGACGCTCCTAATCTTGAATTGATGGGCATAGATGTTTCTAACGCTCATTGCAAGCTTTCGAAAAGACTTTTTTTTTTTATAAGAAAATAAAAATTTACCCAAATTTTAGAATGGAAAACTTTAGACATTTTTTTATCAACACTTTTGACTTTAATGGCTGTCTTAGAAAATAATTCGGGCAGGTAATGTCACATGAGGCAGGCCCTATTAGAAACTGTAGCAATTCATATATTCCAACCGACAAGACATGATAATTCATTAAAAGACAAAATCTAGTTGGACTGACTACAGTTGAGCAGTGACATTTGTGTATTCCAATCCCCATTTGTTCACCCTAGGAAAATGGGTCTTGACTCATTTCTCTCTTTTACTGAGCATTATCTTCATTGGTTTCTCATATTATTTATATGTGTATGCTTTATGGGTTCCCGATAGATAAATTAATGTTGGATGGCTGGTGGTATCTAGGTGTTCAAAGAACACAAATGGACTGTAGATGGTGATCGTGGTAAATTTTAGTATCTTATCGAGTAACAAGAGGTACGTGGTTACGATGGGAAAGCTGAGATTCGGGAAGGTATTGGACCGTTTATGTTTTTCTTCCGGCTCTGGCTTTGGCTCGTGTTCTTGTCTGTGCATTAGTACTGACTATGGAAAAGAAGAAAAAGAAAAAGAATACGAAAGAAAGCCACTAATTGCAGAAACTGGTGAAGAAGTCGGTCCATTGTTGAGACTCAAAGACATTATAGCTGGAACACCTTCTCTGGCTTTCCAACTTAAGCCTAAGGTATATATGCAGATAAGCTCCAAAAATTTTACTTATAATCTTAGCCAAACATGTTTGTAATTAAGTGCCGTAATTAATTTTAATTACCTCTTTTCTTTGTTAATCTATATATATAGATGGTGGTTCTGAGAGTATCCATGCACTGTAATGGATGTGCAAGAAAAATCGAGAAACATATATCGAAGATGGAAGGTAAGTATGACGTACAAAAATGTACATTATTTTAAATATATCGTTGTGTTTGATTGATATATATTCGAGAACTCAGTAAATTAACGTAGTTATTGAAAAGTGTCGATAATTAAAAATTAATCAAAAATTGTTCGTTTATGTACAGGAGTGAGTTCATATCAAATAGATCTCGAAACAAAGATGGTAGTTGTTACTGGGGACATTGTTCCTTTTCAAGTATTGGAGAGTATTTCCAGAGTTAAAGCTGCAGAACTTTGGAACACTCCACCCTCGTCCCCACTTGTAATGATCTGATTATATGTCACGTTGCTCGTGAAACGTTTGCCGTGTGAGTTTATAAACACTTTGAGCACCTACTCTTTATATCTCCATCCGTTTTAAGGGTGAGTCGAGCGGTTGATAGACTGCTCCCGCTCCCGATATTATATGAAGGTGAAAGGAAAATATGGATATGTATTTATCTGCATCAATAATTATTATGTTACATGTAAAGGTGAAAATTAGGTTTTCTTCCCCATCCATCAACTTCTTTTTCCCTGTGAATTGGTACCAGTGGCAACCCACTCGGGCTCTTAACTAGTTAGCAACCAACTTGGGCATGTGCTAATGATGTATTTTCCAATTTGATCTTTATCAATAATGCTAAGAGTGTGTTTGATTACAAGTATGGAACTTGCATGGAAAGAAAATCAGTTATCTAGAACTTAATTATTTGCATGTAAATGGTTAATTAAATGTGTTTGATTAGTTTAATTTTCAACCTATAAAATATTATACTTCATTTTTTTATTGATGGGTAGATTAGAGAGAGAGAGAGTTGCCTTAAAAAGTAAAAATCCATCCATCCCTAAAGAAAATATTTTCTTTGTTTTTAAGAAAAATATGATTACGTGACCAAAATTCGAAAAATATTTTCCATAGAATAAAATGTCAATCAAACACCTAAAAAATAGGAATTTGGGTGAAAAATTGACATTTTCATTAAGAATAAAGCTAATCAAACACATTCTAAGTATTTAGTTCTTCTTCTCAAAATTCAATTTGATGTACCGACAATTTTTAAATTTGTAACAATGAGGTGCACCAAAAGAGATTAATTACATCAAAGTTGCGAAAACAACAAAATACAACAGTTATTCAGTTCCTATAACTATTATGTTTGTGACTTGAATTCTATGTGATTTGAAAGTTTGATTTATGGAAGAAGTCTAGATAATGTTGATTTGAAAGTCCATTTGATAAGGGATCAAATTTCATCATGGATTGAGAGTTTGATTGGAATAAAAACTTTGGGATTGATGAAGAAGTGACAAAGCCAAAGACGTGAGGGTACTGAATGAGAAGGAGGCGAACAAGTGTTAGGTGCCGACCCCGAGGTGCCACCGCGCCCAGCAAAAAGGACAGCAAGGCTGATGCCGAGCGCGGCGCTACCTAACGGGGAAATTTGACTTCTACTCGGTTTCGACACAATTTTTTGTGTTCTACTTTATCTATAATTCCAAGATTTGGCTCATATATATACTCCATGTGATGTGGGCAATTTATAGACTCAACATAATTAGATCGTTGTTGTATACATTAGAAACTTGAGAGAATTATTTAGATTTAGATTGAGAGTATCAAATCTTGTAAAATAATTTTAGTTTTCTTGATATAATTAATTATCCTCTTCTTCTACAAAAATCTTGTTGTTTTGTAATTCATTATTTTCATATCATTCATATTTTTCTCGTTATTTAATTATTTAGTCGGTTCTCAACAAATTGGTATCAGAAATTAAGGTTTTTTGGCGGGTTCCTAGGAGATCCAAATTGGTCATTAAAGCGGGGTTTGAACAAGATTGATTGTTTCAAGGATGACAAGTGTGAAATTTGAAATTTTGCTTTTGAATCGCAACAATAGATTCTCTATGTGGTAGATCAAGATGCGAGTGGTTCTTGCTCAACTGGATCTTGATGATGTTTTTTTAGGAAAAGATAGAATGCCCGCAACAATGACTACGGATGAGAAGCAATGTAAGCATCGAAAAGTCCTATTACAAATATATTTTCATCTTTCTAATCAAATTCTTCAGGATGCGGTAAAGGAGAAAACTACCGCTGAGTTGTGATTAAAATTGGAGCTAATTTATATGACAAAGAGTTTGACAAGTAAGTTACACTTAAGTAAGTTACACTTGAAACAACACTTGTATTCACATCTTTTGACGGAAGGTAGATCTTTGGAAGATCATATATCGGTGTTCAATCGCTGATTTGAAAACCAAAGAGGTCAAATATAATGAGAAGGTTTCAAGGCTGATATTGTCATAGTCGTTGCCACCTTCATATGTGACTTTTGGAGATACCGTTCTCTATAGTCGAGATACTATTACTATTAGCAAGATATAAAACATGCTTTATTCTAAAAAGAAGATGAAACATCTGATTGTTGGTTCAGAGGCCAATGTATAGTTTTGTTATTCGTAAGAAGAAGACATTTAATCATGGAAAGGGCAGAGTCAAGGATAACAACAGTAATAAAATATGTTGGTATTGCAACAGCAAGAGGCACATGAGGAGGGATTGCTATGAGTGGCGGAATATGCTTGCTACTACAGATTGGAAGGAACAACTAGAAAATTTCAGTAATTTCAATCTTGTACATGAAGACAGTGATGAAAATCTTTTGACAATTACCCATGACGACTCATAACCTAACGAGGATTGTATTCTTGATTGGATTGCACTTTTCATGTGTTCAAATCGGGATTGGTTGTCTTCGTGTGAAACAGTTACAAGGGGTTCTATGATGATGGGAAATAGTGAGCTTTGTAAAATAGCTGAGATTGGTAAAGTCAAAATCAAGATGTTTGATGAAAGGTTAAAACACTTGGCCTAGTTCGACATGTTTCAGGTATAAATGGGAATGTAGTTTCTTTAAGTACTCTTGGTTCAAAAGGGTATAGTATACCAATAGAGGTGGACTTCTAAAAGTTATAAAGGTGCCCGGGTTATGTTAAGGGACGGAGAAAGCCCCAGTTGTATATGTTAGAAGGTTCAACGATCAATGTGGATGCAGTTGCAGTTTATGGTTCAATAAGTAATAACTTGGGGGTAGAGTTGGTTGTGATCGGGTTGTTCGTGGTGATTCAAATAATGACATGGAGAAATCTTTCAGTAACTCAAGTGGAGCTGGTTGTGATCTTGTTGATCATGTTGCTCGTGGCGATTCGAGCAGGTTTGACAACTCAGGTAGAGCTGGAAGTGCTCATGGTGATTCGAGCAATTTTGGTGACTCGGCTTGAGCTGGAAGTGAACCAGATGATCCAAGCAAGGTTGGCGCTCAAGGTATTTCTACTGGTAAACAGGGCTTGGATTTAGTTCACAGTTGCTAAGTATGTCCGACAGGGGCATGGTGTTCCCGGAAATGGCATGATGGAAGAGTTGGAGAATAACTTGAAGAGTGAAGACTTAATTCCTTGCAGTGGAATTTGTGTCAATGTGAAATTTGTTATGTTTGTGACTTAAATTCTATGTGATTTGAAAGACGATTTGTTAAGAGATCAAATTTTATCATGGATTAAGAATTTGATTGGAATAAGGACTTTGAGATTGATGAAAAAGTGTTTTGAAAAGACAAGGACGAAGCCAAAGGCACGAGGGAGCCGAGCCAAGAGAGAAGGAGGTGAACCAGGGCTAGGCATCGTGGTGCCAGTGCCAAGCAAGAAGAAATAGGTATAATAAATTTAGAATGAGAATATCAAATATTGCAAAATAATTTTTGTTTCTAGGTATAATAAATTCTCCTCATCTTCCACAAAACTCTTGTTTGTTGTGTGATCCATTATTTTCATATTACTCATATTTTTCTCGTTCTTTAATTATTTGGCAGGTTCTCAACAATAGCATCAAGAAGAACCGATTGGTTAAGGATTAGAGAAAAATAAATAAAATTATCGCAGCACGTCCGAAGCAAAAATCAAGTTTTGTCTTTTTATTTTTGGTTATTTGATCCTTTTCTAGGGCCATGACGTTCAAGGTGGTTCACACTATATGAAGACCTAATTTAGGTAAAAAGGGTGATGACCCACATAAGAGGAAAAATGAGAATATAGAAGGAAGAAGAGAGAGAAAGAGTCACGGTTCCAAGAACTTGGTGTGAAAAAGGCGAATTCTTTTTTTTTTTTTTAACTCTTTTTTCCTTTGAATCCGGTAATATACTCAAAACCACTTTCTATTTTTCTTCCATTATGATGTGTAACTAAATCATATAGACCTTTCTTGCTACATTAGATGTTTCGAACCTTTAATTTCAATTCTCAAGATTTTCGTAAGTAATTATTTTATGTATTGATTTTACCACTATTCTTAATGCTTTGAAATAACTAGCCACTATTTCGTTGATTTGAGAATTTATAACAAACCGAGAGATAATTTTTAAATTTAGACAATATGGTAAAATTTGACCATTTGATAAAATGTAGAGATATGCATTAATTATTGTGGTTGTCTTTGTTGATTTAATATATTCCGTTCATGCTTGTTCAAATTCACATAAATATATAGTGAGTTGAATTAGATAGATAGGATTGGTTTGAATTAGAGAAACGTAAATTGAATTGTTCTGTGAATTCGACAGAGTAAAACTTTAGGAATTAAAATTTAGCGCCAAGATAAAAGGGAACAACTACGGTTAAATCGTTAGTCACGACTCTTTAACCATCACAATTGATCGTTTAATTGGGTTTTTTCCCTAGCTAAAACTAGTTTAAAATCAGAACATTATCATCAATATTTGCTCTATTCAACCGGAATTACGAATAGTTAAATTAATCATTAAATAGATAATTCTCGTGAAAACGATAATCCCGACTCTAACACCCTACATTTGCTATTATCACACAACACTTATCATCATAAACTGGAACTTCTTAGCATTCATCAACAAATTGTTTGCATCAAAGAAATTTTTGTACATTTTCGCTGAAATTTTAGTACAATTTTGACAAGAATATGATTTCTTATAATTTCCAACATTTGCATACAAATTCGTACATTTCATATATTTTTGTACATATAATTTTCGTAACATTTTGTTGGAAAAACATACTGTGAACAATGTAATTCTTGGAAATAAAAGTTGAATTATTGATGAATTATCTGATAAACTGTTTTTTTTTTTCGTACCACGATTTGATAAGGGTACCTGAGATTCAAAAGTAATCCAATCATTAATCAAGAGGAACCAGATGAAGCTTTTAATACCATACTACTTGTGATACGTTTGAACTAACCCAATTTTCTTCTGCAACTTCAACCATCCTTCCACAAATATATTTCTTGGTCATGGCTGCTTGTTTCGGAAGAGCTGCATTCTCAGCTTGAAATTTCAACCCTTTCGGTAGTTTTTGTGCCGACTCTTTGATCCCAAATGGTCAAGGATCGGCAAGAGTTGCAGTACTTCATCAACTCTACTGGAGGAAAATCACTAAAAGTTTTCTGATATTTTTCCCCTATTTAGAGTGAACCGGTGTCACAAGACATTGATGGATTTCCACTCAGCAAATCTGAAAAAACATGCATTCCAACGTCCTCAGCTTCAGTATCACTTGACCACGAGCTTTGATCTCCATTTTCTTTTCTTGGATCAACGTGACTCGGACTTCCAATTTCTGTAATCGTATCCACTTCGACATGGGGTACTAATTTGGATGAAGCCTGAAAATTACTGTCGTATTGGTCAGAGACTAGATCTCCTTCCTTTATAGATTCAATTGACTGAATTGCTTGGGCAATAAGCATTCTGGTTTCAACCAGGGAAGCCTGAGCAAGAAGGCTATTATTTGCAGCAATTTCAAGGGCCGCCTCAGCCTTCTTAGCTTCAGCAATCAATAACCTGCAAATTGTTTTATCATGCAGGATGCGCTATTAATTTCCAAAATTCTGTCGTGCCAAATTTCACACGCTCAAGTTCGAGAAAAAAAAAAGCAAACATTTTCTTTGGTTAACAAGAAGAAACCAGCGAGTTTAATCTTTCACAAGATCACTATTGTTTAGTATAAGAATGTGGGTATAAAAATAATAAATTAAAAGAAAATCAACCAGTGGATTTCTTTTTCTTTTCTTTTATTCCTTTGCTTTCTGATCTCTTTCTCTCATTCATAGATCCCAAGCTTCAATGGAGGCAACATTCACTAAAACTAGTAACACCTGACAAAAGTAAAGTGAGTGTATATATAAAACGGAAACTTACTTTGCTCTAGCAATGACTTCAATTTTTTTGTTTTCAGCAGCAGCTCTTTGTGCTCTCATGTTCTTTTAACATCTCCAACTTTGAACTCTTCCAAAGGGTCCTTGAACAAAGGTGTATTTTTTCTCTTTAATCTAATTCGTTAAATTTTACTCTTAGTCTCAGGCTTCCAAAGATTATTTTTCTCATTAACCTTCTTTTTAGGGGGACTTCTTTTTCTGGTCTGACCACCTTCGCTTGGTTTTCTCCTTGGCTTTCTTTATACCCAATCTGGTATGCCATAAAATTTAGACAGACCAGAGCAAACCCGATTACGGTATGCCTGGAAGTACCATAGGAAACAGAAAATGAGAAGAATAGATAAGAAAACAACAGAACTACTTTAGAGATTTCATGAAATAGGTAGGACGATTCAAATCATTAAGCATGAAATCATGGGAACCAAGCTACAATAAAAATGTCTTCAAATTAAACATTAATTGGAGATAGGTAGTACTTGCTTTATACACAGACCATTTTTAAATATCAATAAGATGTCATTTTAACCCGAACTCAAACTATAGGAGACTAGAATTTGAAACTCTTACTGTCAATGAGATTGAATAAGATTACGGAGATCTATCGAAAATTACGATTATATTATCATTATAATTGTATCATATATAAATATATTGCTGTTACTATATTTAGTTATGCTTTTGGTTCTGTATAATGAGAGAACCCCTCACATAGAGAAGCATCTAGTCTTATTAAATATTATTGTGTATATTTGACAGGGTATCAGAGCATTTTCTCTTGTTTTCTTGGTTAGGTTTTCTCAAGGCGGGAGGACTTTTTTGCTCCTCCGTGTCTGGTCATCATCAAATTAAAGCAATTATTATTATTATTATTATTATTATTTTTTGTCAACTGGTCATTCTCCAGTTCCCCATGGGATTTACTAGCAACTCTTTTCCAGAAATAATACTCAAGTTACATATCCAACATTCCATCACGCATCCGCTTCAGGCAACAAGTGTGCTTGCAGTGGTAGATTCATATTTCCAGACAGGTGGAAGCTTCTTTGTCTTTTTGTAGTAGCAAGCAAGCCTGTGAATTCTGCTTTCAACAAGAATCAACCGGAACTTGGCATCTTTGTCCTTCTTGTTCTTCTCAAGATGCTTGCGAATTGCAACAGCTTTCTTAATGAGGTGGTACAAGTCCTCAGGTATCTCAGGAGCAAGTCCATGGCCCTTGAGTATCCTCAAAATCTTACTGCCAGTGACACTCTTCACCTGTGCAATTCCATGAGAATCACGAAGAATAACACCAATTTGAGAAGGTGTTAACCCCTTCTTGGCAAACTTACAGATATTGTCTTCCACATCCTGAGAAGATATCTTGAGCCAGCTTGGTGGAATCCTCTTGTACGGTACATCGGTTGTGTATACGACCCATGACGGAGGCAGTCTTAGAGGAGTCGGCGGCTATGCGTGGAGCTGAACTACACTTACAAGGGAGAAAAAGCCCTAGAGTGGATATTTGTTTGTTATGGTTGCATATTTGGGTTGCTTTGGGCTGCATTATTTGGACTGATTTATTAGCAATTATAATATGATATTACTACTTAAAAGGGGGGAGAGAGAGATGGGAGTGCAGACCGTTAACTTTGGTGAGTGCAGAGCATTGAGTTTTGGTTGCTCAGGTGATGAGCTAGAGTTTTGGTTTCTAGGACGAGGATCATCTTTGGGTTTTGGTGTAGGCTGTTTTGTGGGATTTCTTCCACCTGCGGTGTCTCGAGTTTTGGCCGATGTTTTAGCATTAGAGCTTTTGTCGAAACCCGAATTATGTGTTCGACTAAGTTCTCCCGACAGATAGAATTCACTGTGTGTGTCGGCACACTTTGTGAATTTCTTTTGGAAATTCTTCTTAGGGAGAATGAGTTCTCTAGAGTATCATTGGAGTGTTCTTTGTTGGTTACTGCACTACTTATTGTTCTTGGTCTTTCGTCATCACTAATTTTCGTAGGTGATTGCTCTTATTTGGATTTCTACTTCGTGGGCACAAATATTGTCCATATCGTTAGTTCATGATTGCAAATTGATGCTTTTACAAGCATCAATTTGAGGGGGGATGTCAATGATATTGAATAAGATTACGGAGATCGTCGAAGATTACGATTATATTATCATTATAATTGTACCATATATAGATAAATTGTTTTTACCATATTTAGTTATGCTTTTGATTCTATATAACGAGAGAACTCGTCACATAGAGGAACATCTAGTCTTATTGAATATTATTGTGTTTATTTGACACTTAGTGGATCTGTCCATTTGGCAACGGTGGCCTCTGAAATCTTCCTCCTCTGATCAGCGGACTTCGGTGCTCTCTTGCTTCCCTTTGGCCTTAGCATCCTTTTCCTCTGTTCAACACTCTGCAACCACTCCTGGTCAAGCTGGAGCAATGTGTTGTCACATCTGTTGGATCAACCTCCAACTTGAAAGAATGTTCAGGCGTGCCTGCAAAATCTTATATGTATCCCACTGCAATTCTTCCTCACCAAGAACGCCTCTTCTGGCAGTATCAGCAATTCAATTCTGCCACTCATAGTAGCAAGTCTCCTGTAACATCAACTTCTCACGGCGTTTTTCCCACCCTAGTTGGACACCAACACTGATTCTCATCCTTGTTTCTTCACTGTATATTCAGCAGAGATGAAATGTGTCATAAAATGATGCAGAATTTGCAATTGAAGATCTAAGTGTTCATTCTTCTAGCAAAACTAAAAAAAGACCACAACCATAAGTAATCAATGGGCTTAATGAATTCTATAGTGTATAATGTCATGAAACTTGAATGACAAGTTTCAATCAATCAAAAGCATCGGTAAACCATTGACAAGGAGATGATAAAATTTTAGTGAAGTTAAGATTTAGTGTAGTTCGGCTGATGGCGAGTTACAACATGTCGAAAACCAAGTCAACCAAAATCTTTATCTACCTCCAATAAATGGATCAGCATACAGCTAGTCTACCTGAACAAGGCACTTCTATAATAATGAATTTATGACTGTTGCATTTAATCAAAAACATAACAGTTAAGATAAGTAATACCAGAAATTATCTCGAACAAAAATATATGACATAGCGAAACACACCTTTGAGCATGCCCCAGGTTAGCTAACTTCATCTTGACCTGTGTACACTAAACCTGTCGGTGCAAATTACAATCTCAAAATGCTGAGAGTAAGATAACAAGAAGACATTGATAACTTAATCAACTGGTAATGTAATGGATTTAAGATATGCTTGTGAAAGCTCATGATCAGAAATTGAAATCTTCAACAAATTATTCATGTGATTATAGGGTTTAGGCGAAAAATCTAGCTAGATGTTAAAGGAGATTATGATAATAGTCAAAACTTTGCTGATGCAGCTTAATGAACAAGGTAGCTATTAAGAACAATCAATACTTCATAGGAAATTAACGCCACATAATCACAACAATTTATTTTCTGTATATACTGATCAATACTGAATATATAGAATATGCACCCTTGGATAAATATCAAAAAAGCTTATGGGTTCAACAAACAAATTCAGATTTTCAATAATGCATTGTTTTACATGGAAGAATGTGCAAAGAAGGAAGAACTTTCATGACAGTGGTATGTCATGTTATGATAATCCCATATTGATAGATGACCTTTTCTCTAAGACCAAGCTGGTAGTAATAGAAGATCAAACATTTCGCAGATCACTTGATCACCCACGACAACCAGGAAAACATCAAAGCATACATAGGGGTAATAGATGGAGGGGTTTCAAGAACACTGATGAATCAACTCACAAATATGCAAATATTGGTATAATGGTGACTTTGATGTCAAAGCAGTAAGAAAAGGTTTTTCAATACCAGAGGTGCAGTTGATTGCTTTAAGTCTAAACCATGTTATCTGTGTTGACCTCGAAAAATGGTTCGGACACGTGGCCAACAGGATAGGTCTTCAAGTCAGCTCTCCCTGCACACGTAGCACGCCGTTAGTCACTCGTGGCCTCTCCCGGAGGGGGTGGGAGCGGCCGCAAGCACTCCGACGGTCAAGTCAGTTTTATATTCAACCGGAAAATGGTTCGCCGACGGTGGAAC